AAAAAAACCTTCTTTCTTACTGAATGACTGCTACCTGGGTTCTTATCAGCTGTTAAATTTTGTTGTTTTTCCAGAGGATGGAGATTTATATTAGCACAGAGAAAGTGTGTATAACCTCTAGAGAAATATAGTGCAACTTAAACTCCTCCTTTGAGATACACACATCAAATTTGTATACTCTGTGCCCTGTTTATAATTCAAACCACCCAGTAACTTTAGCTTTGTCTTGTTTTGCCAAAAATGTCCATTTTCCATTTCCTCTTTTCTATCCCTGCATGTGTGATTTCTCTTCCCTGCTTGCTTGCTTTTGAAAGAAACAGCTGATCTCAAGTGAGACTAAATGTTTCACTTGCATTGCCTTATGCTGGCTGTGATGGCTACAAATATGGCAAATATTTTACTGATGTGCCTTCCTTTGCTTTGTTGTTGCTAAGACAAGTGTCTTGCTTGCTGAGGTATTATGTTCATTTAAAGCATGTTCTGTTTTGCTTTGCCTTTTTTTTTTAGGATTACACTTACTCAGCTGTAAAAAGTAGGCAGTTTCTTCACTTCTTCCATAAGAGATCAAAGCAGCAGCATTTTGATGTGGTACAGTACAACAAGCTAAAAGATGACCTTGCCAAGGTACCTCATTGCAAATGTGACATCTTACAGCTGGTCTTATCTGGGAGCCAGAATTGAGGGTCAGGGAAGCACAGTCAGTGGCTCACCCACACAGGTTAAATCTTGGTCCTACATAGGCTTCTCTGTATTTTTGGTTTGTTTAGTGAGACAGCTGACGTGTTGACATGTCCTATACTAATTTCCTAGTTTTTCTTCTTGTCGTCTGTATTCTACATGGGGATAGCTTTAAACGTAAATAGGAAAAGTCTTAAATGACTCTGAGATAATAAAATAATAGTTTTCAGTAGAAATCTAAGTGAAGATGTGTTTTTAAAGAAAGAAGTCCCATATCAAGCTCAATTGCAAATTCTGAACCCATTAAGAACATAAAAGACTTCTAAGAATGTAAGCATTCTGATAAAACAATTTTAAACTTTCTAAATGCTTTCCAGGTTTCTTCTCTGTAAAAACAGAATCAATATGGCATTCCTCCTTTCATCTTTTCCTTCTTTCAGATGAAAAAACAGAGGTGTATACCCCATTGGAAAGTGGGGAAACCAGGGTATGAAGCCGAAAGTTTGGCTCTGGAGCACTTCCATATAATCTGATTCCTAGGCAGCTGTTATCTCTGGCCTCTCAGCAGACCCATTAGCTTTTTAAATTTTTCTTAGTAATTTTATAAGAAAGTTTTGGTAAAAATGTCTTCTACTGTTCAATACATGATCATTTAATAGCCAGTGATCATCACATCTTCTGTTACCTGTACCTTTTAAACTACCCATCCCTCAAATTTAAAAAAAAGGAAAGATTTAACAGGAATTCACAGTCCAAAAATTAGAGATAAAGAGGCTTTAAAAATACATTTACATTCCATATAATCATTACTTAGGAAAAATGTAAAGATGCTTTTTGGGGTACTTACATTTAAATGATCTAATCCAAGAAGGCTAAAGAATGTTCTCCTAACTAGTTTCTAGCACTGGGCATTGAAGATTTTTTTTTTTTTTTTAAGGTAATAAAGTTGAGAAAAAGGGGAAGCTAATAGGTCAGACTAATGTTTTTTTTGTTGTTGCTATTGTTTTTCATGAGCTAGAAAAACCACTGCAAAGGGGAACATGAACATAATAAGAACTATAAGGAAATGCTATAAACTCATATTTTATATACTATATATACTGTAAACTATAGCATAAACCATATACTATAAATTCATCTTTTACAAAAGAATCCACATAAATTGAAATATTGTAGGCAGTTGCCACTTGTAGTTTAGATCTATGTGTTGCCCTCAGGAGATGTTAAAGTTATAAAATTCCTTGGAACAGTGATCTGATATGCTCGTGGTTCTCTCTGATCAGTGCCTCCTCCTCTTCCCTTGGACAGGCTACCGAAGCCCTGAGACATGTGCGCCGCTCTCTCTATTTGCGGATGCAAGTAGAGGAACTGGATGAAAAAAAGTAATCTTACATTTTTAATGTCAGTGAATTTTTCCATGATGTGTTTATTTTGCAACTGGAACTTTTTGATTCCCATAGTTCATTTGCATTTGACTGTTTCAATCTCGTTAGTAAAAAAAAAATGCTTGCAAAACACAGCTATTCTTTGATGTTCTCATTTGAGATTTTCAATTTGTGGATTTTCATGGCTTGTTGAGGTTTACTGCTGGAAGGATCTGGGCTGCATCCATCAGAATCAAACCTGCTGCTGTTACCGTTCAGCATTGAAGCAGCTTTGTCAGCCTGTCCCGTGTCCCTTCCCTTGCGGACGCGGAACGGTCAGTGTGCTTGGGTTCCCTTTCTTAGGCTTCATTTAAAATCATCTGGTCATTAATTTCTTATTAATTCACAGTAGCTGGAAGGTTTTTATCATTCGATAGAGTTAAAATTATTATAAAATGTCTTTTGAAATGTTTCATCTTAATATTTACTTAGTTACTATTTATCATTTGTTGTCAAGTATTGTTCTAGGCACTCTGCATATAATTATTTGTAATCCTGTCATCCTATGAGGTTGCTGTTTTTAATCCCAATAAGGAAGCTAAGGTTTAGCGTGGTTAGTTTGCCCAAGTGTACATAGCTAGTGTACCTACTCAGAGCAGACCATAAATCTTTATAAATGTACAACTAATGGTGCTTAATCCATTACCTAGGATGTCACTTTATCAGTGATTGACTATGGGACAGAAAGGGTACTGATGATACCCTGATACTGAGATTTGCTTTAAAAAAAAAGAACAGTGTTTTAAGGGTATACCTTCCAGTCAAATCAGATTCAAACTTCAAACACCTTAATTAGAGCAACACCCAGTGATCCAGGTGCTAGTCTGTATCAGTATCTCTGACACCTGGGGAGTATGGATTGGCAGTATGTTAAGTGTTTTACTAACACGCTAAGAACATGCACTTACGACAAGCACTTAGGCAGGACATGTGCTGCCTTTGAGGAACCTGGTTCCCAGGAAGGGACAAGCCCACCATCAATACAATGAAAGTTAAGAGAAACCAGTTGGGCAAGGTGGGTCTTACCTCTCGGGAGTGCCGTTTGCTGTACTGAGTTCACTGATGCTTCCATCCCCGGCACCAGCAGGAATGCCTGGCCCCAATGACATACCCGAGAGCGCCAGGTGTCGGTGGGGTTTTCAGGTACAGAGCTAGGAGAAGGCTGGGAACAGGGAAGAGAAAGGACGGCTTCTGAATTCTCAAACAGTCTAAAGGAAAACCTGGGAAGAGGGGTAGACTAGAGGTTGGCAAACTAATTTTTGTAAATAAAATTTTATTGGAACACAAGTATTAACACTGATGCACTGTCTGTGGCTGTTCCCACAATATAGCATCACGGTTTGATTGCAGCGGACAGCGTGGGCTGCAAAGCCCAACACAGCTCATCTCTGGCTCTGTACAGAAAAATTTTACTTATCTCTGAAAGAGGATGTGAAAGACAGTTATCAAAGAATACTTCTGTGTCTTTAGGGCTTCAGAAAGTTTGTCATGTGAAAAATGAATGAATTCTTAGTAAAGATAGCTCCCTTTGACTAGTGTCATCCCACTTTACAAAGTAAAATAGACTTTACATTTAAAGTAGAGTTTAATTCTTCAGAGAAGGAGCTGCACGTAGGTCACACTGTACTTTTTTGTGACAGGTGAAACTGATTTTTGAGCACCGGGGATGAGAGCTCAGTGATCAGAGGCGGGACATTCTGACCTTTTTTAGTACTTAAACTGTAGTTTCTCAAATGGGAGATGTCATATATGTTAAAACATTGTTGATCAGAGAGATCATTTATTAACACACCAAGTATGATCTTTCTACTCAAGTTCCAAGTTAAACAGACTGAAACCAAAACTAAAGGATTCCAAAGAAATTGCATGTTAATTTTATTATGAAAGGGTTGTGTTATCCTGAGACAACTATTATAAACAAAATTCAGCTGTGTCCCTGTTGTTTCCACAGCTCAAATTTGATGGCATTTTGGTGCCCAGATACATTGGTACCAGTGTCACTGCATCTGAACAAGAGGATTTTATTCAAATAAACCCTCAGACTGATCACTGAAGGGAAAAAAAAAATGTGTGTGTATGCATGTGGTGGGTGGCAGGGGTTGAGGTTTTTAGTAACATCAGCTAACTTCTCGTAGGTAACCAGGGCTATATAATCTTTGCCTAGAGGGCTGGACCTGTGCTCGCTGGATGAGCTGAGGAGTTTCTATAGTCATTCACCTTGCAAGGGGAGTCATGGAGACAGCAGCACCTGAGGGTCAGGGGTTAAAGGAGAGGTAAACTGTTCAACTGACAGTGAAACCCCTGTCATGACTACAGGAAAAGGTTTAAATGCCCCTGACCTTGGCATATAGTTGGCACATGTTTTGAACTATACCTGAAACAGCACAAACTACTGCTGAACTAGCAGGTCCCAAGTTTGTTATCAAAACCCAGACTTTTAACCATCTTCAGCCTCTGGCAGCATATTACTCAAATTTTACATATCATATTAGTAAGAGCTGAATCTTAAAAGTAATATCTGGGACTTCCCAGGCAGTCCAGTAGTTAAGACTCTGCACTTCCACTGGGGGCATGGGTTCAGTCCCTCATCTGGGAACTAAGATCCCACATGCTACAAAGCACTGCCAAGAAAAAAAAAAAGCAACATTTCTTATTCCATAAACATGGTGATGGTCTGTGAGTGGGACCACCAGACAGTGTTTAGTAACTTACCATGCACGACACTGACAGGATCGAGCTTTGCAAGTCTGTGACCCCTACTGACTAAGGATCAACTGCTTATGCTTCTTCTTCAAAATGCCATATCATAGTTCTTGAAGGCTTTTTTTAGAGAGTTAGTCTTACACAAAAAAGTGGTAATTCACATGTAGGTTAATTTTTATGACCAAGTAAATGATACAAGTAAGAATGTAAATTAGAAAAACAATTTAAAAATTTCAAATATTAAAGGAAAACAAGTTCTTAGATTTCAAAACCCCTTAAAACCATTATAAAGTTTTATTTTAAAAAAGTCACAAAATACAAGTTAAATCAGTCAGATATTGAGTAAACTTACAATTTAGTACAAAAGTCTAGTATTACAAATGCTTGTGGATTTTCATCTATAGGAATTCCCTGAGGATTTCATTTCCCCATATATCAAAACCCCTTCACCATGTCCAATATGAACTATTTTAAGTTATTAAAGCTTAAAACATTTAAAACTGCTGAACCATTTAAATTGCTTCAACCAAGTGATACTCCTTTATATGAAAAGAGAAAATCTATTTTGAATACATAAAGCAAAATAGCACCTATCATTTAGATTTTGGAGAGAAGTGCAGCTTTTTAGTTAGCATTGAGGCAAAGCAGGGAACCTGCTTCTTTCCAATCGCACTTGGGTCTCTGCAGAAGTCCACTCGGCGCTGAGAAACCTTCCTGTTCACCAGGGTGAGGAGTTCTGTGAACTCCAAAGAGGAGCCGAATTTTCCCAGCATCTCACACAAATCTTGAATATACCATGAACCATTCACAGTTTCCCGATGAGAATAGTAACCTAAAAAAGACAGGAGAAGCCACTGAAGTTTCCAGGTTACCTACTGTGACAGAAAATCACTTCTCAAGTCTGAGTTCTCAAAAATCATTGGGCAAGACTAAGATGTGTCCATGATACAGTTTAAAAATTTTTCTCTGCTGACTATTCTCATGTGGAAAAAAAGATTAATTCCACACAGTTCTATAAAAACGGTGTTGATGCTATGTAATTTTCTCCACTTCCTAAAAATTCCCAAGCTAGTAGTAAACTAGGCAATGATTTTTGAGATCGGTGATTAGAAAAAAGAAAAACATAAGATTATTTACTACATTAGAGAACAACTGTCATCAAAATATTTTTTAGGGACTCCCCTGGTGGTCCAGTGGTTTAGGTGCCACACTTAAAAATTTTTTTTTCAACAATGTTTTCCACAAGTGTTAACCATAAAAGCAGTATCACCATCACTAACTGACACATTCTGCTGCTAAGCTATTCAATGTAATTAGCCTTAGAGCTTTATTTAACATGTAATAGTTTTCAGGAAGGATTTTTCTATAAGGTACTTTATAGTTTTAAATATCACTCTGATCAAGATGTCCATTAAGCTTGTGAGCTTCACGACCAGATCACAAGTCCCATTAGAAAGACCTCACCTAAATCAAGGCAAGATGAAACATACAGAAACTTAGCCAAGAAAGCCCATTATACATTTGTATTAAACACCCACAGACCTTCTGCCACAGAGTAGCACATGAGGAAGTCGGCTCCAGCAGGAAGTGTGTAAACCGAGGCCGCGTCCACCTGGGTTAGGTTGGCATCCAGCATGTCTGTCCCGTGATCAACTGCATCCAGAGGGATGACGGGCACGTCGTGCTGGCTGCCCCGACACGCCTACGGGACGAGGAGGAAGATCCCCTCCTTGAGTTACCTGTTCTCCCCTGTGTCTCACGTTCACAGTGAATGTTCAGTACGCCTTTACAGCAACACCAACAGAATCCACGGTACGGGCGTTTCAGAAACAATGCATTCAGCTTTACAGCAGGCCAAAGCTGACAGTGCTTTTTTTCCTACTTAGGCTTTCTCATAGCTGATGTTTTAAAAAACTGGCATCCTCAATCCTCAACTAGACACCAAATTATGTTGATCTAAAGGTATACTGTAGAGGGGAAAATATCTGTGGTTTCAAAGTTTCTTATGCATTACGCACACCACAGCACCAAGAGCCACCCCTTCTTTTAGAAAGCTATAGTATGTCCCTAAGTGTATCTATTTAATCAGGTAATATATTCCCAGATTGGGTTTTCCTTGCCAAGCTGCAAGGGTCAAAATGACACCACCTGACCTGAGAGCCATTACCGGTGTGCCTCCTGCTTCTGCTCCCTCTTTAAAGCGAGGGCTCATATCCTTACTAATTCTGACTCATACAGAAGCTAAATAACATTCAGTGACTGTTACGGGCTTTTTGGCCCCACTCCATTTAATTATTTTTTGGCAGGGTCCTTCTCCCTGGGAATTTGGTCTTCTTTCAGTCAACAGGTCCCAGCCCCATTTATATATTGAGGGCTTCAATATAAAACAAATAACCTCCAATATTTCAGATGTAACTGTATATGGTGACATGGTCTTTAAAGAGGTAATTAGGGTAAAATGAGGCCTATGGGTGGGCCCTAACCCACTATGACTGGTGTCCTTGTAATGTCAAAATCACGGATAATGACAAACAATATTTAAAAAGTGTGAAATATAAAATTACCCAAATGTGACAGAGACACAGGTGAGCAAATGCTGTTGGAAAAATGGCATCAACACAGGGTTGCCGCAAACGTTCGGTTTGTCTTAAAAAAGCGAAAGTGTAAAAATAGGCAAAGCACAATAAAGGGAGGTACGCCTGTACGCCGTTCTGGCAGTCCTGGTAAACTTAGTTCAGTGCTCTAACAAGACTGCTACCGTATTATAAACGTGTCCATCAATTCTGAAATGGCTGAAGAATTATCAGCTTTAAAAGAAACATTCTCATGGATTTCAGAGTTACCAGTAAACAGAAGATCCCTGATACCCTATTTTTACAGGGAGATTTTAATCTTATTTTGTATTATCAGGCTTATCGTCAGACCTTTTCTACTGTCTCCCTAAATGGAATGTAGAGCATGTGGAACTCAATGCCAGCGCTTGTCAAATCACCTGTGGTAAGCCTTTACTGGCTGGGGCTGTGCCATTTCCCAGGCACTGTTCAAAGCGTTTTTCACCTTAGGCCAGGTCATCTTATCCTCCCAATCACCCTATGAGGCAGTGCTCCTGTGATGAAGAATCTGATGCACAGAGAAATAAAATAACTTGGCAAAACATTTTCCTTGATTTAGTCCCTGACAGTGCTGGCCACTCCCCCTTTTCCATGAACAATCACCTATCATTCTTATGATTTTCTCCTACTTTTCTGAGCCATCCTCCTCATCATCTTCCCTCTGCCCATTCCTCACCAGTACCCCTCAGTTCTGCTCTACGCTTGTTTTTGGTGGTACCACGCAGCTTGTGGGGTCTTAGATTCCCAACCAGGAACTGAAGCCGGAGCCCTGGCAGTCACGTGTGCTGTCAATGGACCACAAGGGAATTCCCTCTCTACGTGCCGTTTTCAGGGTGTACTTGACACGGAGAAGCTCACCTACTCCCATGCCTCCCAGTACTATCTATCCGCTCATTACTGCCCATTCTCTAACCAGGCCGCCTCTCTCAGTTACCATCCATCCCCCTGTTACTCCCAACTAACTTCTCTAGCCTAGGCTCCTGTCTCAAGTTTCGACCTCTATTTTCAACATGTCTCACAGACGCCCCAGTGTGTCTGTGAGACATGAAACCAGGGAGTCATCCTTGACTTCTTTTTAAGTAGCCCCCTACTCCCTCTCTTAAGGAATGGCAGGGTGTGAGATGCGGCTGTGTACTTCGTGCAGCCGGGCAACATCAGGAATTCCCATTCTTTTCCAGAAATCCTTCCTGAGGTACCAAAGGGGATGTTATTCAGGCACCTCCAAATATTTTTATTCTTAGCCACATCTTGGCTTAAGGGAAAATGTGAAAGGACTAGAAGTCTAGCTGGGACTAGAAGTCTTCATGCCCGCATTCTCCTCACCAGCTGGCACATTCTCCAGCCCCAAAACTAAACCTGGTCTGAACAGGCGGTGCCCTCACCACACTGGTCCATCAGCAGGCACTTTCTCCAGAGGCCCTACCTTGACATTGGGCTGGGCCAGGGAGTCATTTCCAAGTAATATTTGTTATTTTGAGTCATTTGCAAGTAATAAAGATACTGAGTATCTTTACGTTAAGAAAGAACTACCACAAACAGCTCAAGCTGCAACTCTGATTGGCTAGGATTCAAAAAGGGCCTTTTCTGATTACTGGAGAAAGTTAACTTCCAAAATCAGCTTTAGTTCTTTCTAATCACATGTACAGAACCATGGCCTTTATAATTAAGACTATAACAGAATCAGTCTTACCTGAATGATAAATATCTTGGGTTTTCCAACCAAGCTCTGACACTTGTCTCCTTTGAACAAGCCTGTTAACGTCTGAATTTCAATTTTGGCATCATACGCATAGATGTGGTTGCCTTCACCGTGACTCAGGAAAACACACAAAAAGCAATCAGCATCTACGTGGCTGGCAGTTGACGCTAAAAAGGACCCCAAAAGTTATTTAGAAATGAAAATAAGGTACTTATTATCTACATATAAAATTTTAATTTACTAATACTAGAATAAAGTTTCACATAATTGAGGGGAAATTTATTATAAAATGTCTAATGAAACCACTTATTTAATTAAGCAATACTGTATCTGACTTTTAAACACCCAAATTATTACAGTTCAAAGTTTGAACAGGTTTTTGTTAGCTTTTTTAAAACACAGAAGAATGACATGGAAAACCTAAAGGTATTATTATGGGGAAACCCTGAAAGTTTCTTTGAATCAGCAGAGACCTTCTTAGAGCAGACTGGAAAGATGCAGAAACTGCCCCATAACACTTCCCTAAGTGTCGCTGCGCTGATAAGGAAGGCAGCACCGTCACTATTCCGTCTACAGCGCTTGGAGCTTCCCAGAGTGTCAAGACACGAGGCTGATGCACTCCAAAGCTGAGCAGCAAGCAAAGTAGGAAAGCTGGTGAGCTGCCAGTTATTATTTACAGGAGCACAAATTATTTACAGATTAAAGAAGAACCCTGGTATAAGGGTTCTCAAAAAATTAAAAACAGCTGCTACCATAACCGACATTTCCACTTGTGGATATTTATCCAAAGACAACAAAAACACTAGCTTGTAAAGATATATGAACCCTTGTATTCTCTGCAGCATTATTACAACAGCCAAGATACAGAAACAACCCAAGTGTCCATTAATGGATGAATGGATAAAGAAAGTGTGGTCTGTACATATACAATAGATTAGCATTCAGTCACTAAAAAAAGGAAAATTTGCAATTTGCAACAACACGGATGAACCCCGAGGGCATTATGCTAAGTGACCCAAGTCAGAGCAGGACGTGATCACATCACTGTATGTGGGAACTAAAAACCCAGCGAGCCAGCAAGCAGAACCAAATTCAGAGGTGCAGAGAACAGACTGCTGGCAGCTGGGGCAGGGAGAGGAGAAGCGTGAGGCAAAATGGTGAAGGGGTCAAAGGATGTAAACTCGCAGTTATAAAATAAGTAAGTCCTGAGGATGTTAATGTGCAGCATGATGACTACAGTTAGCAGTACTGTACTGCGTATTTGAAAGCTGCTAAGAGAGTAAACCTTAAAAGTCACTAGAAAAGATTTGATAACTGTGAATGGTGATGGTAACTAGACTTCTGGTGGCAATCGTTCCCCAGTGTACACAAATGCAACGCCATGGCCTGAGCACACCAGGCTCCACTGTATGTCAGTTACACCTCAATTTAAAAAAAGTTCTGAAGAAAGTTTAATGATGTAATTGTTGTAATAGTCCATTGACAAAATTACTTAAGAACCCATGACATGTGGTGATTATTATACACATTAGGTTGTTAATTTACCTACTGCATGCTGCTGCTGCTGCTAAGTAGCTTCAGTCACATCCGACTCTGTGCGACCCCACAGACAGCAGCCCACCAGGCTCCCCGTCCCTGGGATTCTCCAAGCAAGAACACTGGAGTGGGTTGTCGTTTCCTTCTCCAATGCATGCATGCGTGCTAAGTCGCTTCAGCCGTGTCCAACTCTGCGACTACGGATAGCAGCCCACCAGGCTCCTCTGTCTATGGGATTCTCTAGGCAAGAATACTGGAGTGGGTTGCCATTTCCTTCTCCAACCTACTGCATAGTGATGTAGAAATTAAGAGATAATGTATGTAAATCCGCAGTATTTTGAAGTCAGTAAAAAACTTGGGTATGGAAGGAGTCAGTTAAAAAATGACTGCCCAGCGTCTGTAGTATTTGCATCTTAGGCTTTTAATTGCCAAATGAAAAGATCATTACATTCATTTTCAGAGTAACAGACTGTAGTGGTATATAAACCTGGTAGGCATAATACTTTGCAAAGGTCTCTAAATCTGCTGAGTAATGTATAATCAGAGAGGCATAAGCAAAACCTATAACCCATGCTAAATTAATTGATAAGCCTTTTTACAACAGTTAATTATTTGGACCTGTCTTCATACAAGGATAATTAAAAACTACTCAGTCCCATCAAAGGAAGATGAGTAGGAAAACTACTTACCCTCGTGAATTTTGAGCAATAGTTCTTCTGCTCTAAGATCATCAAAACATTTTACTTCAAATCCTAGATCTGAAAACCTGGAGATTAAATTGGATACTAGCTTATGAGCTATTCAAAACTGTCATATACTCCGAATTATTTGAGGAATCTGTACACATTTCTATGGCATATAAATTGACTTTTCTTTAGGGAGAAAGAAAAATCAAATATTGACAATGATGGTTTTCCTCGATTACCCATGGCAGGAAAGGATTTACTCATGATAACTGATTTAAGTTAGAATACTGCCATCTACTATGCAGATATATTTATAAGAATGCAAAGACTGCTGACATTTAATAGAACAGGATTAAGGGGAAAATTCAGGCAAGTTCTTAAGGGAGGCTGGGCCCAAGTGAGGTTCATCCTCAAATACTCTTGCTCTGTTATTTCTACAGTGCGGACAAGTAGTTATCACTTAAATATCTGACCATCTGGATGTTAAATAAAACAATACTACCTGCGTCTAAGATTTTCTCTGTCGGCACTGGTGCCCCGCCTCTCTGGCAGGGTTAAGTGCCAGAAGAACCTCTCATGATTGAAGATTAATGCAATTCCTCTCCTCTTGTGGTCCATTTTGTACTTTTCAGCCGGATCAAACATTTCTCTGTTTAGAAAAAGTTTTAAAAAATCACATTAAATAGTAAGCTCCTCCAAGCCCAAGGTCAACACGCAGAATAAACAGAGGTCTGCTGCTTCCTCCTGCACCAGGCCGACAGGCCACCGCCGTGCCCTGGGCAGGCCTCCCAGCCACACTGGTCAGGAAAGCCCTGAAACATCTCTGTACCAACCGGTAAACAGCAGCCATCCTGAGCAAACCGCTCCGACCCCCCCAGTTTCTTTGCTTGGGTGTCTTTCCCCCAGAGCTCCAGGAACTGGGGGCCAAAGACGATGGTCTGGCCCAGGCCAAGGCCGTCCCAACTATTCCATATCTTGAGCCTCAGTCTAGGTCCCTTCAGAACCAGGGGCACCAACCAACCCGCACACCTACAAGCCAACCCTCCAGATGCTAAAACCTGGCATTCTCCACTCTGCTTTTCAGCGCCCATGTCCCTTTCTTTGATTTCTGTAGGCTGATGACGACCACTAAAGGAAAAGACCTCTGTGAGTAAACAGAACATTATTACCTCCTAGGGAAGGCATCTATTTCAGTCATGTTTTGTTCTTCACCTATTAAAAGAAAGTAGGGTCTTGTTAATATACTTTTTGATTTATGGTCATAAAACACATTAGGAACTCCCAGCTGCCTTGATTCCTATCTGCTAAGCTCCTTCTGTCTCGGTCGGTTTAAAAGTCAAAGGATGTGAGAAGGGGTAAGGGAGAAGGAAGGGAAAGTGCTGTTAATAATAAATGAACTGTACGTGCCACAACTAGAGAAGCCTGCACACTGCTACAGAAAGCCCAAGCACTGCAAGGAAGACCCAGCGCAGCCAAAATAAACGAACCGTAAACACACAGCTCAGTCCTTTCTCATCTCCAACTCTTACATGCAAAATAAAAAAAGATCATAAACAGAAATGGAAAAACTCTACTCAAACTCATCTGCTGCACACTATGCCAAAAGTAACAAACACAGCTCTGTGATCGTGAAGCTCAAATGAAATATGAAATTGCTTTATTTTGCATAAAATGTTTTTTGCAAATATTCTCTGAAACAGAGAAGGAGTGAAGTCAAGCAAGAGAACTGAACACAGTGTGGTGGACACTCGATTACCCTACTGCCTGGAAGCAGCAGACGTTTTGGTGGAGGAAGGGAAGGGCAAAGACTCAGATTCTGACCTGCATGACACATGCGCTTGTTATGATCCTATAATGAGGACCCTCTTCTCCCAACCCAAGATCAGACTTCCCCACCCACAAGACAACCTCTCACTGAATCCCTCTCCTCCCAGGAACAGTGCTGTGCATCAGAGCCTCTGCAGTGACAGAATTCCCTACCCCAGCTGTCTCTGGGGGCAGCCACTGGCCACATGTGCTTTTGAGCCCTTGAACTTTGGCAACTGAGGAACTCAAATTTTAATTAACTTCAACTAATTTAAATTTATATAACATGTGTGGCCAGTGGCTTCTCTACTGGACAGCAGCAGTGAGTCTAACATCTTCTATCAGAAGAGTCCATATGCTCATGAGTCTGCTTTTGCCTGATAAACAGCTTGAGAGGGGACAGAAGGTGATGACTATACAAATACTAATAATGTAGCAAGATGCCCCTTTCAGTTGAGGTCTTTGAAGGAAGGAGGACAGACCCTAGGGGTAAACTCCTACTCATCATCTCCCTGCCAAGAGGGCAGTGTTCCCCTCACTCCTTGGAGTCTCTCCCTCACGCCTGATGGTTCTAACCTCATGTCTCCTCACTGACAAAAGTCCACCTAGGGAGAGAGGATGAGGAGAGGGAGAATTCAACTCCAGGGCCCTTTACCAGTCACTCTCAGCCTGCTCCTCCTGGACTGCATCCAGCATTCAAACCAGCCAAGACCCCAGAGAGGCATCACCCTTGTTCCAATAGGCCCCAATCAGTTTTCCTTAACCTTCTGCATCAATCCCTGGCCTGGGTGATAAAATGCAGATTCCTGGTACCTAACCCAGATTTACAGAATCAGAATCCTGGGAGATGTGACAAGGTGATTTTTACTCACACCAAAGATTAGGAGTCAGAAGCAGCCTCTCTAATGCATCCTCCCCAGCCTCCCGAGGCTTCCATGCTACCCTCATCCTGCTCTGAGGCGGATCCTGCGTATTCCACACCGTGTTGTACTGCGGACGCTTCCTACCAAGCTCTCCTCTATCAAGGGACATCCCTACCATGCAGCTGCTTACTGGGGGGTCTCCTATTTCACACAGTGCTCTGCTGAGACACGACCTACTCCACACCATGTTCGAGAAGGGGCCCTGCCCACCCCACACTGCTCTACAAAGGGTACGTGGCACCTGGTACCCCGTCCCACCAGGAGGCTTCTACTCCACACACCGACCCTGGGGACTATTAATACTTCCTGCTGGACACACTACCAGAGACACTCCACACGCGTTTCTACTAGAACTCTTCCTACCCCTGCGCGTGATGCTGGGGAGACTTCCGACCACACACAGCTCTCTGCAGGGACACCTCCTCCTCCAGAACCCCTATCCAGAATGCTTCCTACGTCACACGCTGGTCTACTGGAAACCTCCTCCTCCACACACTGCTGTCCTGCCGGGACGCTCCCTACTCCACACACAGCTGAACAGCCGACGCTTCCTGATCAGACACACTCCACTCGGGATGCTGCCCCAGTGAACACACAGCTCTGGGGGCCACTTCCGATTCCACCCTCTGCTGGGCCCAGGACACCTGCTCCTACACAGCCTGTTCTACCAGGATTACTTCCGACACCACACGCTCTTCTCCCCGGGACACTTACAATCTGCTGTACCCGGAATGCCTCCTAGTCCAGACGACGATGTGCTGGGCCGCTTCCCAGCTCACACACTGCGGAAGGGAATGCAGCCAAGGCCACACCCAGCTCTCCTTCAGGAACTCTGCATCCACACACGGTCTACCCTGGGGACCTCGTCCACACACTGACCTACCAAGGTCACCCGGTGCCACCTCTACCCTGCTGCGTCCGGGACACACCCTACTCCACACACTACTTTGCCAGGTTACTTCCCATCACACTGCTGCGGTCTGGATACAACCTCTCGTTCCTCTACAAAGACTCTGCCCAGAGTTCTCCCCACGCCACACACTGCTCTGTGGACGGATATTTCCTTCCCTGCACACTCTGCACCAGCGACTTCCTCCTCCACGCGGCGCTCGCCCGAGGAGACACCCTCCCTCCTTCTGCCACACGCTGCCAGAAACGTCCTGCTCCACACACCGCCCTGCAAGCGGTGTCTCCTGCTCCACGCTCTGCTCTGTGCCTGGGACCTTCCTGCCCCAGTGATCTCCGCGGTTACCTACTCCACACACAGCTCTAGGTGACATACTTCTTACCACCACAGTGCTCCAGCCAGGGTCGTTCCTTCACTGTTCCTCAGGCCTCTTTACCTGGAGATCTCCTCCTAAACAGTGCTATACAAGGGAGCCTTCCCTACTGCACTCACCCAGGATACTCCCCACCCCAGACACTTCCACTGAATATACGTCCTACTCTTCCCACACCACACACCGCCACGCCCAGAATACATCCTGCTCCACACACTGCTGTACCAGGAGAATTTCCTGCTCCACACTGCTCCATGGGGACATTTCCTACCAAGACTCCCCACTGCTCAGGGATGCCACCCTTCTGAACACGCAACTCTTCAAGGCTGACTTCCCACTCTGCATACTGAGCTACCCCCAAATCCCACCGAGCCCATAAACTCCTCCACACAGTGATACAGTGGGATACTGTCTCATCCACACACTGCTCCCATGGGACAATGCCCACTCCACACAGTGCTTTGCTCGGGCTACTTCCTGGCCACACACTGTCCTAACAGGGATTCCTCCCAGCCAGCAGACTGCCCTCCCAGAAGACCTCATTCCTCACATTGTCTACTGGGGTTCCTTCCGGCTCCCCACGCTGCTCTACTAAGCAATGTGCAGCGTTTCCTCTCCTTCCATTTTCAAAAGCATTCCATGATCTACCTTTATTTTTCTTACCTCCTTTTAATACCCTTACGTTCTTATCACTAAAACAATTACATAATAAAGAAATAGAATCACTCAAACTAAACACATTAAATCTATATCTAAAATTCAGTCTCACCTCAAGAAACAAGAAAAATCTCAAACTGATCTCACACTTAAAGCAACTAGAGAAAGAACATCAATAACAACAACAAAAACACCAAAGTTTAGTAGAAGGAATGAATCATAAAGATGAGAGCAGAAATAAATGAAATAGAAATGAAGAAAACAATAGCAAAAATCAATAAAACTAAAAGTTGGTTCTTTGAGAAGATAAAATTGGTAAGTCTTTAGCCAGAATCATTAAGAAAAAAACGGAGAGGATTCAAATCAACAAATTCAGAAATGAAAAAGGAGAAATGAACAACTAATACTGCAGAAATACAAAGCATCATAAGAGACTATTATAAGCAACTATATGATAATAAAATAGACGACCTGGAAGAAATGGACAAATTCTTGGAAAGGTACAACTTTTCAAGACTGGACTGAAAGGAATTAGAAAATATAAACAGACCAATCACAAGTAAGGAAATTGAAATTGTAATTAAATATCTTTCAACAAACAAAAGGCCAGGACCAGACGGCTTCACAGGCAAATTCTGTCAAACATTTAGAAAAGAGATAATACCTGTCTTTCTCAAACTCTTCCCAAAAATTGCAGAGGAAGGAGCACTCCCAAACTCATTCTACAAGGCCACCATCACCCTGATACCAAAACCAGACAAATAAATTACCAAAAAAAATTACAGAACAATACCACTGATGAACAAAGACACAAAATCCTCAATAAAATCCTCGCAAACAGAATGCAGCAACACGTTAAAATACTCATACACCGTGATCAAGTGGGATTTATCCCAGGGGTGTAAGGATTCTTCAATATACTCAAATCAATGTGATACACTGTATTAAATTAAATAAAAACCATATGATCATCTCAATAGATGCATAAAAGGTTTTTGACAAAATTTAACAGCCATGTATGATAAAAACTCTCCAGAAAAGTGGGCATAGAGGGGATCTACCTCAATATAATAATGGCCATATACAATAGTCCCACAGCAAACATCATTCTTAATGGTGAAAAACTGAAAGCATTTCCTCTAAGATCAGTAATGAGACAAGGATGTTCACTCTCACTATTATTATTTAGCATGGCTTCGGAAGTTGGTGGCTTAGACAGTAAAGAATCTGCCTGCAATGCAGGAGACCCAAATTCAATCCCTGGGTTGGGAAGATTCCCCTGGAGAAGGGAAAAAAATAAACAAATGGGACCTAATTAAACTCGAAAGCTTTTGCACAGCAAAGGAAACCATAAACAAGTTGAAGAGACAACTATCAGAATGGGAGAAAATAACTGCAAATGAAGCAACAGATAAAGGCTTCATCTCCAAAACATACAAACAATTCATGCAGCTCAATATAAAAAACAAAAAACAGGGACTTTGCCAGTGGTCCAGTGGCTAAGACTCCAAGCTCCCAATGCAGGAGGCCGGGGTACAATCCCTGG